CATTCCAAAAGTAGCTGTGGCATCGCTGGCAGGCATTTGGATTCAGGACTCTCTCCCTGTTCCATGACTGCTTCTGTTTGCACTGCCCAATATGAGCTGAGACATGAAGTGAGGCGATGCTGCTAAAGAGAGCATAGTCATTAAGAGTGGGAAAAGGGAGGGGAGAAGAGGGCAAGACGGGAAGGACGGCAAGATTAAACCCCCAGCCCTTGCAGCCTCGGAGTAGCCATCTTTCATCTTGTCTCTGCCCCTCTAACGCCTTCAAGTGGGTGAAACCCTCGACATCTGCTTCCGCTATCTTGGATGTGGTGCAGGCCGCCGTCCTGCTGAGCTGCACAACCACAGGATAGCATGAAGGGCACTGTTTGGGGCAGAGAAGGCTGATCCATGGAGAAGGAAACCCATGATAGAGAAATCAAATAATCTCTTGCTTCAAGGAAAAATGTAAACTATTTATTCTAGACGTGTTGAAATACATCAAGTCATGTTCACACCCAAAGAAATCTGATGAAACAGATCCAGCATGGAAATCTTTGACGGTGTGCTCGCTCAGACATATTAAGTCTACTTACTTGTGAGCAAATAAACGTAAATAGCTCCGTAAATAAACACTGTCTCATTGCCGAGAAGGCATAAGCCCCCCGCTGCTTCTGATTGGGACTACCAAAGTGGGATATTTGGCGCTTAAGTTCTTTGTTTACCTCATGAACACAAAGATCTGAACACAGCCTCTCACACTCAAGCTGAAATATCACAAATTGAATATTCACACCTGCTAGCCTTTATGGTTTCACTGTGGGTTTGTCTAATGACATTTTGTTTGTTTATTCCTGACATTTTGGGTGCATTTTATTTAAAGTGGTTTTGAATAAAAGGAGTTTAGTGGTTTTTGATTTCGGCACTCATTGTGCGATAAAAAAATTAATAAAGCTGTAAGTTCTGAGTTTTGCGTTTGATTTTCTGAGAGATTGGTAAGATGGCACTTACAAATCCAAAAAAAAACACAGTGGAGGACAGATGAGTACAAGTTGGAGAGTTGCTGGAAATAATGTAAGAAGGGCTGATGGAGTGGATAAAAGTAAAACCTTGCAAACTGTGAAACAAGCACCAAATGACTAAAGTAAGTAAAATCAGCATAACAATGTAAGTAGCCTTGGATAATGTTTAGTTCAAGATATAGCTAGTTGTTCCAATAATAGGTATAAGCAGAAATTGTCCACATGGGTAGCTGTAGCGTGTAGGTTGCAGCCTTTCTTGCAGGAACACTTGTTCAGTTCCTGACAGCTTGCTGCAACTGGTGCAAGAGTGGTCCATCAGACCTGCCCTATGTCTCCTTTCTACACACACACACACACACACACACACACACACACACACACACACACA